CTTGTGATTCGTAGCGAACCTGTGCTTGGATTCGGATTTACCTATGATTCACATCTTGAATAGGATTCGCTATCAATTGATTCAGAGTGAATCGATTTGCAATTAGAATTGCGAATGGACACAGATTCGCAAGTTAAACAAGCTCGGAATGAAAGGTTTGATCGGTGGATTTGGAGTTCAAGTAGGATTTACCAGTGATAATTTGTCGTTCACATTTGACTGATTAAATGGGGAAGACGACTCAAGTTACATTTTTGGTCCCTTTACTTCAGTGATTTGACTGTTCTGATCCCTGTATTTTTTGTGACTTGGCAATTTTAGATCAAAATCAGAAATTGCTACAATTCAAAGGGAAAAAGATGTGGTTTTACTTTTTCAGTCCATGTCTTTCAGCAATGTGACAGTTTCAACCCATTTTTTGAAAAGCTTACAAATTTAAGGGCCGGTGAACAATTTTGGATTTTTTTAATGTGCATATTTTTCGTGAACAGAAAATGAAGGATTCCAACAAGTCTTGGTGGTTAAAAAAGTCGTTTTTCGCGATTACATCAATTTTTTTTTTGACTCTTTTGGATTTTAAACTTCATTGATTATATCATTTTGTCGTGGGGGAGCACAGTAATTATTTATCCATTCAAGATCATTCTCATGACCATTTGAAGGTTTTATAATCACATTATTTATTATAAATCGGGGAAGAATTTGGTATGACCATTTGAAATTGGATTTGTAGTTTTTCAAATTTGAAGATTTCTTATGAAGGTTGTGGTAGAATTATGAAGGTAGCTTTTATAGTAGCAGTTCTTCATCGAGCTCTTCTAAAGCTTTTACAGTAGAGTAGCCTTTACAGTAGCAATTCTTCATCGAGCTCTTCTAAGGCCTTGATATATCTCTGACTTCTAGTATTTTCTTGATCAAGTGACATTACAAATCTTAAAATCTGGGTTGCTCCATGATATTTTTTGGTGGTTTATATCATTATCTTATTTGAAGATAATTGTGACTTGGAGGGGCAGTTCTTCAAAGACAAGAAGTGTGATTGTTTCTTAACTATGAAATGGGTTTTTATGGCGAGTTTGGCTTTATTGAAGATCTTTTGGATTACATCAGAAAATGAAGTTTAAAAACATTACTTCAGTGCTTGGTTCATATATATATATATATATCCTATAACCCGTTTTTGAAGACTATTGAAGAATCAAGATTTGTGGATTTCTTCAAATATTCCTCGTCACAAGATCTTTTCTTATTTGCTAGATGCTTGTTTTGGAAGTTGAAGCCTTGCATCCATTCCATACTTTGAGGGGGAGATTGTAGGGTTCAAAGTACTCCACGGATTATGGCAATGGGCTCCCTTGATGAAGTGTAGGTTAAAAGCCCAAGACTTTTCTTTTCCCTATAAATAGTCATGAATTATTCATTATCAGGGTTAAGAGTGAGGCAAAATGTAGCTGCCAAACATTGTGATGTTTCTTATGTAGAGCTAGATTCTTTAGTCTATTCTAAAAGTGTAATTTATTCCTCATGTTTTGAATAAATCGAGTGATCATTCGACATATCTTCTTTATTGTGTTTGTTCTTATTTTTCGTAGCTTGTTCATCAAATCAATTAGGGTTTTAATCCTAGAACAATATTTCGATCTAATTTACTCTGATGTCTGGGGACCGACACATCATTCCGCTATGGGGGGTTTACGGTATTTTGTTATATTTGTTGATGATTGTACTTGCTTTACTTCGATTTATTTGATGCAACACAAATCTGAACTACCAATCATTTATATCAACTTTGCAAAATGGTTCAAACTCAGTTCTCCAAATCTATCAAACTCTTTCGTGATGATAATGTCATGGAATACAAAGAGTCTTCTCTTCTTTATTCTTTGCATCAACAAGGTACAGTGTCTGAATACTCGTGCACGGGCACATCCCAACAAAATGGACATACCGAAAGGAAACATCGTCACATTGTAGACACACTCAGAACACTTTTGGTCTCTTCACAGGTTCCCGAACGATTTTGGGGTGAAGCAACTTTCATAGTAGTTTACACCATTAATGGACATCCTACTCTTATTCTTCAAAACATGTCCCCTTATAAACTTCCCCATGGTATCTCCCCTGCTTAAAATCTTCTTCAGGTGTAGGGTTGTGCCTGATTTGTACAGCTACAACCTCATGGATGATTAAAACTTGAACTTCATTCTCGCTTTGCTTCCTTAGGTATGGAATTGAACACAAAGGGTATCGATGTAGGGATCCTGTCTCTAAACACACATGTATCTCTCGCCATTTCACCTTTTAGGAACATACGACTTTCACATCGCTCTCCAAGTTTCAAATTGATTCTCCTTCGGAGTCTCTCTTTTTCACCGATCCGCCAGTCTCCCTCGACTCATATAACTCAAACTCCATTGAAAATGACTCTTTGAATTCAGAATCATGTGCTTCAACTATAGGAAGTCAAATAGAACAATCACCTATTCCTAATATGTCTCCTCAACCCTCAGATGCACCACCTCCATTGACACGTTCCGAAAGGGTAAGAAACATTCTATCACACCTTCGTGATTTTGAATCTTATTCAACTATTATGTCTCATCACGAACCTACCTCCTATAAGGAATATGCCTCTAACCCTTTGTAGCAGCACGCTGTGCAAGATGAACTTAAAGCCTTACAAAAGGCCCAAACCTGGGAATTTGTTATGCTTCCTCCAGGAAAGTCTCGTATCGACTCTAAATGGGTTTAAAAACTAAAGACTCATTCCGATGGCATAGTTGACAGGTACAAAGCACGACTTGTTGCCAAAGGATTCCATCACCAATATGGAATTGACTACGAAGAGACTTTTTCTTCAGTTGCCTATATAATATCCGTTCGTAGTCTACTTGTCATAGTAGCAGCTCGCTGCTGGTCTATGTATAAAATAGATGCTAAAAATGCCTTCCTCAATGGGGATCTCACCGACGAAGTCTATATGCGTCCTCCAAGTGGTGTTGACCATCCATCTGCCCATGTTTGTCGTCTCCAAAATGCTTTATGCGGTATGAAACAAACACCTCGTGCCTGGTTTGAAAAGTTTAGCACCATCATTATCTATCAGGGATTTTCGTCTAGTCCATATGATTCAGGATTGTTCACTTGAACAATAGATACTGGTACCATCCTTCTCCTATCGTGTATTGATGATATGATTATTATTGGCAGTGATAGTAGAGACATTATGAATCTCAAACAATCTCTCAACTCTTGTTTTGAAATAAAGGGTCCCAGTAATCTTCATTACTTTCTCGGTCTTAATATCTTAACGGATAATTCTGGAGTATATTTATGTCAAGCAAAGTACATCTTAGATCTTCTTTCCCGATCAGGAATTACCGACGCCAAGGTCGCCTCAACTCCCCTTAAACCCAACTCCCACCTGGTTCCTTGAAAGTGGTACTACTCTATGTGATCCTACCATCTACCGATAGTTGGTTGGCTCGTTGGTTTATCCCAATGTTACGTGTCCCGATCTAACATATGCATTTCATATTGTTAGTCAATTTATGGATGCCCCCTTCTCTGATTACTATGCAACTATTCTTCGGATTCTTTGGTACCTAAAAGGTTCCATGCTTCATGGGCTCCATTTATCCTCCAAGTTCTCTATAATTCTAAGAGATTTTTCAGATGCTGATTGGGATGGTGACTTGACCGACAGACGATCCACTACTGGTTATTGTTTCTTTCTCGGAGATTCTTTTATATCCTGGCGTAGTAAGAAACCGTCTCTCACCGCACAATCCATTACTGAAGCTGAATATTAAGCACTTGCCGATACAACACAGGAACTACTATGGCTTCGTTGGTTATTGGCACATATGGTTCCTCCTCAGATTCTTCCCACTTCTTTCTGGTGTGATAACATAAGTGCCATTATGATTGTTCATAATGATGTTTTTCATGAACGTACAAAACATATTGAGATTGACTGTCATTTTGTTCGCCAACACGTTGGCATGCCCAATGAACTTCTATCGATCTCTTCAACTAATCAACCAGCCGACATTTTCACTAAATATCTTGTTTCCAAACTCAAGTTGGATTATACATTCCCTACTTAAGTTTGAGAGGGGGTATTAACGTATATTCTCTCAGATTATTAGCCCTAATTGTTATGGGTTATAATTGTATATTACCATAATTAGTGGGTATTTCTGTAATTAGATTATTGTACCACGTTTATATATTCTTGTATTTTGTACGCTTAAAGATATTCTGAATACACACAATCGACGACTTCTTTGCTTCCATTTGAAAGTCACCTTGATTTACGTTTGATCGATGGATTTGATTCACAAATCCTAACACACACACACACACACACGACAAAAAATACTTTTGTTTTCTGTCACCGCTAAAATCCCTGTCGCCGCTAAAATCCCTGTCGCTGCTATTGTCAGTTATTCTTGTAGTGTTGGACTTCATTAGTCATATATATATATATATATATATATATATATATATATATATATATATATATATATATATATATATATATATATATATATTATATATATATATATATATATATATATATATATATACTAGTATTTTATCAACAAAAGTTGTAACTTTCCTTAGTAAATTTGTTTATGTTCATAAGTGTATCTAAACATTTGAAACAGATCATCAATTCTGAAATTAACCGGTTTATAATGAACGCTTGAAACATTAGATGGTTTTTGGTGCCTTCCACTAACTTGGCCAACTGTAAAACAAAAATAAACAACCTGAAGGTGAAACACATTTTTGGCTATCTAGAAACCAAATTTGTAGTTTTCCTATCGTTTAACATGACATGCAAGCCATCCAAATCATTAGATTTGTCTGTTTCCCATTTCATTAATTGTATATGGTAACACATGCCTAATATTATACAAATTTCAGAAGGTGAAACACATTATTCTACAGAAAAGCTTGTACAATTGGAAATGGAAATGATTAATTACTAGTTAGTCTTCCCAATTGTGCTTCATGGGAACAAGGCAAAGAGGTACTTTCCTCTTAACAACCGGAAAGCCTTCTTGCTCCATGTCCAGATTTTCATTATTCACCTCATTTGGAATTTTCCAATCAAAAGAGTAAAAAATGCTTGCTATCGTGAATTCTATAATGGATGTAGCCATGTTTGCTGCTGGACATGATCTTCTTCCTCCTCCGAATGGAACCATCTCACACTGATCAACTTCAACGTTTTCTAACCTCTCAGGATTGAAGTCGGTTGCATCCACTTTCCAGATTTTTGGATCCCTTCCTATCCCCCATGAATTGATCAAGATTCTTGTCCGAGGTAAGATGTCGTATCCATCAATCTGACAATGACTTGTGCATTCTCGTACAAGCAAAAATGGAGGTGGGTGCAATCTTAACGTCTCCTTCACCACCAGTTTTAAGTATGTCATTTGTGTAATATCTGATTCGTCTACCCTCGGTTTCCTTCCCACACAGCTTCTAATTTCGCCTTGCAGCTTTTGCATAACTCTAGGGTTTTTAATAATTTCAGAAACTGCCCAGATGGTTGCGGCAGTAGTTGTGTCAATAGATCCATTAATCACATTCTGAAAGGTTTATCAAAAGAGTTAGCGTATAATTTAAATTTACTTTCTCTTTTTGACAAAACGAATATATATGCATGAAACTGAAAGAAATTAGTGTTTACCATCAGAAGGCTTTTCAATTCGTCTCTTGTCAACTGAGATCTGCACGCATCTATCAAGTCTTTTTCATGGTCGCCTCTTTCTGATTCAGTACGATCAATATGTTCATCAAGAACGATCTCGAGGAAGCTATCCAAATCACTGAAACACTGTTCTAGTCTACCATTCCACCCTCTTAATCCGTCCAATATCCACCCAACTGATGGAAAAATATCGGATAAAGAACCCGACAGCATGATGACCAGCTCATCAAGAATTTCTTTTAATGTTTTACCCCTAACTAACGTCCCTTCTCTGTAGCTCTTACCCACTGCAAGCTTGCAGGCAACGTCAGTTATGAGATGCTCGATCTGATCTTCTAAGTTTATCGTACTATTTAAAAGATGTGAAGAAAAAGAATCAAGCATAGTGTTGACCTCCGAATCTAACACATTTTTAAAGAATCTGGTTCGCTTAGAACCTGCGAACTCGGTTATAAAAACCTTACGCATCTTCTTCCAATGATCGTTACTAGGGGAGAAGGCCACGTCCATGTAGTTGAACGTAAGTCGTTCGAAACCCTTGGAGAGTGGACGATTATTGAGTATGTGATCGTAAGTTTTTAAGACTTGGTTAGCGAGTTCACTGGAGGAGATGATAACATATGGCTGGGAACCTAAATGAATGAGCATAATAGGGCCGTATTTGTGGGAAAATTCCCATAGGACTTGATGGAGGTTCTTACCTACTAGAATTTGATGAAAGTTCCCTATTACAGGAAGCCTATGAGGGCCAGGGGGAAGGTTAGGGGAAGCCATGGATGACTTCTTCCTTCGTAGAGTATATATGAAGACACAAGAAAATAAGAGAACTATTGCTGGTTGAAGAAGCCATGAAGGGAAGCAAGTGAAGTTATCCATAGATGGATGGGTTTGTTGTTTTTGCTTTGCAATGATATCCATCTCCATATATAACGACGGAGGGGCAACCGTATTATGCCGGCCGCCGGGACATGCGGAATTAATGGGGTCAAAATTAGCATTAATTTACAAATTTTCAGGGTTAGGTTGGTAGGTATCGTCCTCAATGTTGTAATCATTTCTATATAACTCGTTTCGTATGAACATGAGTTTAATAGTGTTATATTTACTATTGAAATGATAAATGTCATCATCAATTTCCTGTTTATTGTTATTAATGTGAGTTTGTTAGCTTGGAGGCTTATGTACAATGTGACATCATTTAAGCAATCAGTTTTTTTATATTATTAAGATGTTTCAATTGATCTCTAAATAATGTAATTGACTTATTGGTGCTTAAATTTGTCACGTCACTAATATGTAGGCATCAAAGGGTAATCGACTTTCATTGCAGTAGACATCAAAGGGCGATAACTTTTGGCTGGTTACACACACCTCCCCCCACATGCAATATGTTGAAATATAATGGGTTATTTTAGTAACTTTAAGAAATTGTGTAACTAATGAAGTTAGGAAGGCAGAAGTTGGTAAGAAAGTTACTGGTAGAACCGTTATGTATAATTGTAAGTGGTGTGTGATCAAAAAAGACTCTTTCGTGCACATATAAACATCTATAGTCTTTAACACAACTGTCCATATTATCACTTTAATAAGCAAATAAACCATATATTGTAATAAAAATCTGATATATTTTTATAAACATAGGAATAACTATAAGAAAATATACTCAATGTTAAAACTATATCAATATAAGTAACTATTTATAGAGAATAAAACATAATAAAATTTGATATATTTTAAATTAATGTTTTTTTTAAAAAAAAAAAAAAGCCTATTAAAAGTTACAAAAAAACACAAAATTAAAATTAAGTTTTTTTTGGCACATATTGAAGTAATGGTTATCATAATAATGAGACATATTACTACTTTAAAAATACACATATATACCTTTTAAATTTATTATAACATATGAATATTAAATTTCCCTTCTCTGCGGCCATAACGAAGTGTTTTGCGATAGGTAAATAAATACATGGTTGAAAATGATCTTTCATTCATAACTTTTTTTTTTTCTCAATTATATATATATATATATATATATATATATATATATATATATATATATATATATATATATATATATATATTGATAATTTTATACAAACAATTATATGTGTGCATGCAACCCTATATTGAATCTATGTTTTCTCTATTAGACATACAAATATTGAACACAAAATAGAAAACCCTAATATGCATCTAATATTTCGAAATCTACTTAAGAAAGATTAGAACACATACCTTTGTTGCAATATAGTAATAACAACCAATTCTTGAAGATCCTTTCTTTTGAAAACAAGTACCACAAGCGTAGTACCTCTAATGGCTCACAAACACATCAGGGAAAGAGGATGAATATGAGAGAGAGGAGAGAGGAGTCACTTGCTCAAAAATTTGGCTCTTCTAGGGTTTCAATGAGGTGCATGAATTCAAGAGGCAAAGGGCTCTATTTATAGTTGAGGTTAGATAGGGTTTTAAGGTGGAAACTCTAATTCCTTAGCTTAAGGCGGCCTATGCAAGTCCATTGACCCCTTCCATAGAGCTTGGACGAAAATCTCTAGAATCTTCTAGGGATTTTGGGCCCTCCCTAATAAGGGTGATCCACTTGCCCAAAACAACAACAATCAAATAATTACAAAACAACCCTTGCACTTTAATAAGTTCCTTTAATCCAAAAAGTATTTTTCAATTAATTTCTGATTAAATACTAATTAATAATATGTTTTTTAATTAATATATTATTCTTATAATATATGAACAAATCATTTTTATGCACCATTTTATTATTCTAAATAATAAACTCAGTCTCTCTCTCCAATAGTCATCCTGTGTAGTTGCAGTGTGAAGGCAACGCCAAAGGACCATACTACTATCAAATAAATATATACCAATTATAGTTATAGGATTAGACACCTAATCGAAAAGTCTCCCACTTGGTTAAGTCTAATAACTATAATTGCAAGCATGACTTCAAAATTTGACTAGCAATCGTAACTCTCAAAAGCCGCTGTCGAACTCTGACCTAGTTAGTTGCGTGTCCTTAGACGTACTTCCAATTCATGACAATCTTACTTCATTACTTACTTCCAAAGTATGACCGATTGTGGATGTTTCGAATAATACAATTATTCAAGACGTAAAACATGCAAAAGTGAAACAAAAAGTTAACAATTGACAACAGACAATAAACAATACTTATAAATAAATCTCCATTATTCATCAAACGTCAATTATGTTTACATTGTTACAAATTTCTAAAAGTCTATCTAATCACTAAAACTAATATCATCCTTCATGCCAATGCTCCTTGCATACTGAACATGCTTAATCTTGCTCAAACCCTATAAGAGGCGATCTATAGGATTCTCTTCAGATGATACCATTTCGACGATGGGGGGTCCTTCTTCTACCCGATGTCTGATGAAGTGGTATTTTCTGTCAATATGTCTTGATCTACCATGATTTCTTGGTTCCTTGGTATAGGTAACTGAGCCTTCATTATCGTAGAAAATTTCTATGGGCTCCTTTATGACTGGTACAACTCCAAGGTCTCTAAGTAACACCGTAAATTTTCAAATCAAATTTTCATTTTTAATTTCATAAAACACATGTCATTTTAAATAAACACCATTTAGTAGTCTACAAAGTTTTCAAAACATTATCAAAATCCACGATCCTCATTCATAACTCTTGCCTCTTGCGTGTACAATCGAGCTGCCGCCTTCCCGCGATCCTGATAAGAACCTGAAACACATAACACATAACATATAACACGGTAAGCACGAAAGCTTAGTGAATTCCCCAAATACTACATACAACACATAAGCCACTCGAGGCTATAACTCGGTATGACCCTCCAGTCAATGTGTCTCAGCGGAACCCTCTAGTCCCATAGCTCGTTGGACCCTCCGGTCCAGTCTAGCTCGTTGGACCCTCCGGTCCAGTCTGATCGAGGACCGTCTGGCCTCATGAGTTGTTGGACCCTCTGGTCCGCTCTATATAACAGATAGCATACATATAGCACATTGCACATAAATCTCAAACATACACATACACATAAGACCCTCCGGTCTGCACATATATACCACTCTAGGAAATGTATAGTGAGAAGACTCAACTCGGTTAGCAGGTAACCGACAAGCACTCAGTATCTTGGACTAGCCTCCGCCTAACACATAAGACAAGCATCAATCATTATCCGCGGTATTACTTTTTATACCTTTAGTCCACTTTTCCTCTTTTGACTTTCAGGATGGGTAAAAGACTATTTTACCCCTCCTTGGCCCCACCTGCCCCCTACTGGCCCACTTGTGAAGTCAACAGAAGTCAACCTGGGTTAACATTCCATGTTGACCTGACTTGCCGAGTGCACACATGTGACTCGCTGAGTCCCCTCGAATTCTCTATGATCTTCCTTGGGTTCGCTTATCACTGAGTTGACTCCTAACTCGATGAGTCAACACTGGCCAAGGCTACTGGGTCACACCCGCTACAACTCGTCGAGTCATCCCAGGGACTCAGTGAGTTGGCTCCATTGGAGTACTTATTCAGCTACTTGAGGTCAGATATGCAACCATAACTCATAAATCTAACCTCCTACTACCCTAAAGTCGCGTAAAGGTCCGATCTTGATGTACATGCATGGTGTATTTTGCATTATATACCATAAAAACTCTATTAATGGTTCCTAGCTTCAAATCCCAATGGCTGCTCCACCATGGCTTCCCACTTTTAGACTCTTTGGACCCCTCAAGGTCTAGATCTATGCTACCAGCTCATAAGAGGGGTTTGATGCATTCAAAACCCCACCAAGAAGATAATACAAGCCCTAATCCACAAAAGAAAGATCTACTCAAATAGGTAAGAAAGGGGTCCGTGTAACATCCCGAAATTCAGGTAAAGCTATTTAACCCTTCTCTTTTTGTCAAGTTGTCAAGATTAGTCCCTTGAGTGAGTTCTTGTACAAAATGACTACGCTGGGTGTAGTGGGGAGTACATTGCGCGTACTCATGTGCTTAAGTTGGATGCAGACTCACCTGGGTACGCTAGGCGTACCCAGGGTTACGCTGGGCATAGCAGGCCCAGACGCAAACCCTAATATTTGGTTTGTGCACTATATAAGGGATGCTAAGGCTCATTTCTCAGCCTACATATCAGAGAGTGAAACCCCAAGAGATCCTTCCATCGTCCTTAGCTTGAGTGTGAGTGCTTTAGAGCTAAAAGTGCCTTTGTGTGTTAGTGAAGAAGAAGGAGAACAGCTTGTGGAGGCTAGGGCTTGAAGTTCAAGTTTGGATCTGAGATCTTTAGAGGAAGGAGCTTCATCTAGAGGTATAAAGTTCAAAACTTTCCTCTTTATTCGGTTTGATGTTGCATGGACCATTTCTAGGGTTAAAAGTCCTAAAGGTGGAGACTTTATGAGTGTAATGGACTCCATGGACCTAGATCTGTCCCGTTTCAGTGATATTTGTGTTATAGATCCATAAAAATCCCAACTTGGTCGTTGTTATGGGGTCATGCTTGAGTTATGAGCTTTCTAGGGTTGGAAATGGAATGTTATAGGTGTTAGTGACTTGTCCAGCCATGCAAAGGCTTAAAGTCACCAACTTTATGGATTAAGAGGCTTAGGGATGGTCAGATCTAAAGTTTGGACGTGTGTCTTAACTGTTTAAGACCCCAAAAGCTAAGGAGTCTAAAACTGGGAGTTACGCGGGGCGTAATCCTAGTACGCACGACGTAGGGGGTCGTGTTCCCTGTTTCTGTGAGGTTGTAGGGTATGCCCAACGTACAGGGTTGGTATGCGCAGCGTAACCCAGAGGCTTGACTTTTTGTTGACTTTTAAGGTTTGGTCAATGTTAGGGTCCTTACACCGTGAGAGGGGTAAAATGGTCGTTTACCCTTCTGAGAGTGCTAAAAGAGGGTTTAGTCTAGCCTTGAGAGTTGTATTGATTAGAGTGCTAATTCCATGTGATTAGGCGGAGGCTAGACCAGATTTTACCAAGTTACCCAAGGTGATTCTTCTCACTATACTTTACTTAGAGTGGTAACTA